GCTTCTCCCTCTGCCTGTGTCTCTGCCTGTCTGTTTCTCATGAATAAATAAATAAAATCTTTGGGAAAAAAAAAAATAGAACAGTGCTTTGTCAAGTCCACTGATCCATGAGGCAAATAGGACCTGGATTCCTTAGAATTATATTCTTATCAGGTAAGCAATTAGTTAAACCCACTCTACTGCTAACACTTGCCTTCTTATGAGTAATTCCTTTCCCACCACTTATTCCAATAACCCTACATACTCAGAAACACATACACAGAGACAGGTAGGGATTGGGTCCTACCTCTTGCGCCTTCTTAACAACAATGGCCAAATGTACCTTTTTGCAAAGTCTAACTTCTGTTTTCTACAATGGTGGTTCTCAAACTCTAGCATGAATTAAAATCACCTGGAGAACTTGTTACACCACAGACTGCTGGGTCTTACCCTCTTGTTTCTGATTCAGTAGGTCTGGGTTGACGCCCATGAATTTAAACTTTTTACCAGCTCCCAGGTGATGCTCAAATGACCTTATCTGGAAATTTCAAGTTAAGGTGAAGTAATACTGGGTTAGAGTGGGCCTTGAATCTAATGACTGGTGTCCTGATAAGGAAGAGAGATGTAAAAATCAGAGACATACTCACGAAGAACAAGACCATGTGATGATGAAGGCAAAGATTAGAGTGATGTAGCAACACACCAAGGAACCCTGAAGACTGCCACAACCACTAAAAACCAAGAAGAAGCAAGAGAGGATTCTTCTGTAGAGATGTCAGAGGAAGTATGGCTTTGCCAATACTTTGATTTCAGACGTCTAGCCTCCAGGATATAAAAGGATAAATTTCTGTTGTTTTAAGCCACCCAGCTGGTGGCACTTTGTTATGGCAACCATAGGAGACTAATAATACATAGCCATGGTGGGAGTTGAATAATTAACCCAATTTTTCATCCTTCCCTGCACACATTCTTGCCATGGCTTCTTCATGGGGATAGTATATTTCCCCCTGGCTTGACTATTAGATTGGCCATGTGACTACCACTGATAAATGACAAAGGGTAAAAAGTGAACACATTCCAGCTCAGAGCCAGGCTTTAAAAGTCTTGTGTGCTGGGCACTTGGGTGGCTCATTGGGTTAAGCAGCTGATTCTTTCTTTTTTTTTTTTCAAGATTTTATTTATTTATTCATGACAGACACACAGAGAGAGGCAGAGACATAGGCAAAGGGAGAAGCAGGTAGAAGCCTGATGTGGGACTCCATCCCAAGGACCCTGGAACACGACCTGAACCAAAGGCAGATGCTCAACCACTGAGTGACCCAGGTACCCTGCAGCTCATTCTTGATTTTTGGCTAAGGTCATGATCTCAGGGCAGTGAGATCAAGCCCTGTATTGGGTTCCCCATTCAGCGGGGAGTCTGCTTGAGATTCTCTCTTTCTCTGCCCCTCCCAAGCAAGTGCTGTCTCTCTAAAATAAATCTTTAAAAAAAAAGGCTTGCATGCTTCCTTTTGCCCACTTATTCTTTTGCCATTACTATGAGAATGGCTGTCCCTTGAGTAGCCACTGCCCCTGACCTTAAGGTAGAGCTACCCCAACCTATCCATGAACCTGAAGAAGGATAGCTGCCCCAGCCTTTTCCACTTAAAGCCACCAAGCAATAGAAACCTTCTCATCCCACCCTCCATCACTTCCCTAAAAAAAAAAAAAAAAAAAAAAATTAAATAAAAAATAAAAATAAAAAAAAGCCTTGGCCCAGACCTGGATTCTAGACATTGTCCTGCCATGGTGCTACCTGGGCATGATTTTCTCTGCCCTAATTGTGAAATGAGAAGGCTCAGATTCACTTGTCTCTAAGTTATTTTTGAATTCATTCCAGGTGTAGAAATATCTACTTCTGCTGGTATGGAACACTAACACAAAAACAAAATATTAACTTGAAGTTTCATTGGGCAGAATGTAGATCTAATCATGACCGGGTAGTTTATTCACGTACTCTTTCAATTAGTCATCATTTATAGACACATGATATATGTATTATGTAGTTATTACAAGGCAAATAAATAGTACTAGTGGCCTAAACATCGAAGGCGAGCAAAACCAGAGTCTACCCCTGTCCTCACAGAGCCAGTGGAATCATTCACATTACTTAAGTGAAACCCAGGTCTGAATCCTCTAGCAGGGTAGCAGAGGGAGTGGAGAGGAAGCCCACATTCAAGGGATAGGTTGCAAGGCCATGACAAGACTCAGTAACAGAGGGGAATGCCAAATATCTCTTCTCACCCAGGCATTTTCGTCTCTAACCCTTTAGTAAGATTGCTCAATAGAAGCTTCAGATTAAAATCTCTTGAAGTACTTGAAAAACTTGAAAAAATAAAATTCTAGGGGTGGGAGTCCTCCTACCTCCAGAAATTCTGATTTACTTTGTTGGCATTAAAATCATTATTTTTTAACTGACCCCATCCACAAAAATAGGTCCAGAATTGCTGTTTGTTGTATACAGGATGTATCCTGTGTTAGTTTCTATTGCTGCATCACACACTAAATAAATTAACAAATAGAAAATAATCAAACTTAGTAGCTTAAAACAATACTGATTTACCAGCTTACAGTTCTGTAGCTCAGAGGGATGTGTGGGCTCACTTGTATTCTCTGTTCAGGTTTTCCAAGACCTCAATCAGGTGTCATGTGGGCTGAATGCTTATCTGAAGTCTCTGGGGAAGAATCCATTTCCAGCCTCATTCAAGTTGTTAGTAGAATCCTGTTCCTTATAGCTATAGGACTGAGGCCCCCTTCCGCTTGCTGGCTGTCTGCCAGGGGCCACCTGTATCCCTACTTACATGCCTGTCTCTTCAAAGAAGTAACATATGTGTTGAGTCCTCTTCATGCCTGGACTCTCTGAGTTCTCCTTCTGCTCTCCCCTTTGGCTACCAGTAGTAGAAAATTCTTTGACAGATATTAGGTCCACCTGGATAGTCTTCCACTTTTATGGTCAGCTGTGCCTTTTAACATAATACAATCACAGGAGGAATGACTCATTTGTAATGAGTTTAGGGGTCATAGGTTCAGGGGATTCTAGTATAGAATCTTGAGGGTCATTTCTAGAAGTTCAGCCTGCCATATATTACAATGGTAATATATTACTATTGTTCGAACGACAGTAGATCAACTGTTGCTTTACTGCAGCAAGGAGAAGGCATAATCAAAGAGTGACTGGTAAATAGGTCATTTCATCTTCACTGCACATGAGAATCACCTGTGGGTTTTTAAAACTTAAGTGTCCCTATTCAAATGCTCAGAAATCCAGATTCCGTGAGATTAACGCAAGGCTTAAGATTGTGTGTCAGTAGAAGGCTGGTGCACAGACAAGCTTGGGAGCCGTTGATGCTGCCTGTCCCATGGCTTTCTTCTACAAACGTTCTAAGGAAAGACTTAACGAGAGGGGAGAGAAAGCACTTGGATTTCAGTTCCTTCCAGATTTTGAAATGCTTGGTTACAAATTAGGCTGGAAAATTATTTTACCCGTGGCAAATACCCATTGTGTCTCACTGAACAGGTCTCTGGCTACCATACCAAGGATGGAAGCCTTGGGTTTGATTTGCACACAGCTCTATGGACAGAGTTAAAGTATCACCAATGGCATTTAAGAGTGACATACAAGTATTTTTTTAAAATAGACAGCCATATTACTCAATAGTAGGACAAGGCACATATTCTCAGTGACCAGAAAAACAGGTGTACGGGTACACACTCAGAAAGTTAAAAAAAAAGAAATGACCAAGACAAAGGAAATCTAAAGAGTCATCTTTATGGGAAGAATCAAATATTTGTGCTTTCTTAGAATTATTTTCCAGAGTAGTTTTTAGAAATTATATATATACATATATATATATATATATATATGTATGTATATATATATATATATATGGGTAAAAGAGCTGGGCGCTGGGTGGAAGTGGCATCATTCAAATTTCCAAGCTCCTCAAGGCCTTTAAAAAACTTACTACAGTCCTGAGTTATTATTTTCCCAAAACCATTCACTTACCGCTACCAGTCATAACTGCATCTGCGTTTCCACATGCAAGAAAACAAAAGGTTTGGGAACTTCATTTTTATCAGTATTTGCCAGCTCTGGAACCCTATTGCCCTCCACGTGATTCTTTCTCCTGTCTGCTTACAGCACCAACACCGGGGGTTAGGACACAGGGTCAGAAGTCGAAAGAACGCTAATTCTTGGGCGCGGTTGTTAACCGCTGGGCCCCATCACAGACCGCCAATGGGCTTCCAGGCCAAGAAGCTGAAAGTCTCCCAGCTGGGAAGCAAGGCAGCCTAACATCCTCTAACATCCTCAGGTGGGGATCCTGGTTCCTGGATTTGAGGAATCATAAAGCCTTGAGGATGACGCCTGTTTGGAGTTTTTAAGCCACCCCCCACCCCGTGTTAAATTTATCCACCTCTAGCACCTGGAGGCTCGGACAACTGCTCTACCACCTGGCGGGATTCTCCAGAACCCCGCGGAGCCCGGGGCGCACAGCAACAACTTTCAGCCGCACCCCGTGCAGCGGCTCTCTGGCCCAGCCCGCCGGGGGCTCTACTCTCCTCGCTATGCGGTCCAACAAGCCCAGGAGACCCCAGCACAGACCTCGCCGCCTCCATCCCTCCGCACGACCCCCGCCAGGTGCTCACCCGCTTCCAAATGTCAGCGGAGAACTCAATCTCGGGTCTCTATAGTCAGCGCCGAACGAAGCCCAGCGCAGGGCATCTTGGGAACTGTAGTCCCTTCCTCGTCTGGGGATGGGGGAGGTCGCTGGTTCTGCCCACGGGACAACTCCGGGAAGGGTCGTTCCGCCTGGGCCGCCTGCGGCGGGAGCTGCGGCCCGACAGTGCGGACGGGGCGGTCCCCTGCCGAGGATTCGGGGCGGCCCCCCGGGTTAGAGGCACGAGATGGAACTACATTTCCCAGGCCGCCCTGCGCGAAGCCGGAGCCGGCAGCCTCGCTTTGCGTGACCGCGGCAGGTTGGTCCTAGAGCAGATGAGCGCAGAATATTTAGGCGAGAGCGCGAGGAGGGGGGAGCGCGGGGCAGGAGGAGTATCTCGGCCGAGAAAATTATGCATGCGTTAGGGAAGCTCTGAGAGAATGGCTGTGGAAGGTAAGGGACGCTTGGGCGTTTTAAGCTCCCTCTCCCAACCCGCGCACCCCAATACACACGTCCCTGATGAATCTTGGGGAACGTGGGGAGGAGAGAGGGGAGAGGGTGGTGGCGAGCGGGCCCTTTCCTCCTACACCTCTTGGCACTCACCTGAGCCGCGGAAGGCCAGTAGGCGCTTCCTTCAGTTGCTTTGGAAAGACACGGAGGTGCGCAGGACTTTGGGGTTGGAGGCGAAGAGTACCCCGAAGGCGGCACGGTGCGCTGGGAGCGGGAGGAGAGCCGGGGAGACCGGCAGGAGGTCGAAGCCCCGAGCCTCCCCTTTCGCCGTGCCTCGCACCGCGGTCGGCTGGGTGGCCGCCGGACGGGGGATTCTCGTTTTGCACCCCCGACACGTGGGAGGGGACCCCGGCCAGGTGCGTCATCGGGAAGCACGGTCCTCGACCGGGTCCCGGGCCCCCATCCTGCACACCCCCGGCAGCGGCGGCAGCACAGCGATGTACTCAGGGGCGTTGGAGGTGTTCCTACACCTGCCTCTGTTAATACGACCATCTCGAGGTTAGCAAACTTTGCAGAAAAGAAATGGAAATCAGCCAGGAATAAAAAAAAAAAAAAAGAACAACCAGCCTATTCCGTTTGGGTGAATCCTTTTCTCTGAAGACCACCTTCCTCTCTTTTCTAGTTTAATTTTGGCCTTTGGCTTTGCGGTTTTGGCTCTACAATAACTGTCTCCTCCGAATCTCCCGGTTGAAAGCAGGGGCAGGAGGTTGGTGAGGGATTCCCCAGTTTTCATTTTAGATTCTCTTCCCTTGGGACACAGCACAGACTTTTTTTTTTTTTTTTTTTTTTTGTGGAGGGCAGTTCATGGGGAAGAATATGTGGACCAGATGTGTTTGTGATGTCACATTAGAGGTAAAATTGTGCCTGAATGATAAAATAATTGTGTGACTGAAGGAGAGCCTACAGTTACAGAGTTACGTCTCCTGAGTGTGGCTCAGGTAAGGGGCACTGGGATAGGAAGGAGAGGGCATGCGGACCAGCTGCATCTGGCTCCTTGACAAGGGGAAATGAGCCTGTTCCTTGTAGTCTATAGGGAATCACAGGGCTTGCTTCCGTCTTCCCTCCCTGCCCCAGAAGAGAGCAATCAAACTACCCTTACTCCTGCTCTCATTATAATTACTTAACCACCTGAAGTAGCAACAACCTAGTTCTTCTGCTCAGTACCTTACCTCAAAAAACTATAGTCGTTGGACTGAGGTTCTGAGCTTATTTATATTTATAGTATTCACATCCCTGGTTTCTATATTACATATCCTAACATACATGGCTCTGGAAAAAAAAAAACAGCCAAAGAGGTTTGTAAGTTTTCTCAACAGTGCAAATGTACTAATAAGGTGAGAATCTGGCTTTCTGCATTGTTACAGTTGATGGTAAGTGAAATAAGACTTCAGATGAGTGAGAAAAGATAAAAAAGCTAAAGCTCATCTTGAGCTTTGGGCCAAGGTTAGGTTGACCTGCTGGCACCCCTTCTGCCTCACCCTTCACGTGACCTTGACTATCCTCTTTTCACTTTTTTGTGTTCCCAAGTGAGGGACACTCCCACTGGTTGCCAGCCCTCCGTGCATTTGAAAACAATTTCCTGTTCGGTGTAAGAAGTATAAAATTAGTCATATTTCTTGTCTGATGGGTTATTATACCAGCAACGGCAGACCTTGCAAAAACAAGAGCTTTGAAATGAAGTACACATGGACTGCAGAGGCTTATTTTATTTTCTAGAGATTTATTGGTTCAAGTGCTTGTCTCATAGGCAGGAGATCCTGAGTTTGAATCACAATGAGGTCTCAACTTGAATAAAGCAAGTCCTTTATACTTTGACTGCAAAGAGGATTCCTAGTTTTCTGTTTTTGCAAAGACAGTTTGCTCAGCTTAGACTGGGCCCTTCTTGGCTACTCCCACCTGATCTTTCAAACAGCTCAGGAAAAACTTCACCACTTCTGGGAACCTGTCTCAACCCTTCTTACCCTCTGCCTTCCCAGCTCTATGCCCCAGTCTGTGGGAGGTGCCTTCTGCACTATGCTTCCCTATTACCTGTGCTTACACCTATTTTAACATTTCCATACTTAATTTCTCAATAGACTGACTGTAAGACTGTAACCCTTTCAAAGGCTGGGATGTTGTATGCTTTGCTGTCCCAGCCAATATTGCAGTACCTGACCCATCGTAGGTAGGTACTCAGTGAATGATTATGGAATGTATGGGAAATAAATTCATGACCACTTTTGTAACTGACTCCATAAGTGTGCATAGGGCTTTCTTAGGAGCCTAAATGCAACAAGACTTCTGAGAGATTTGAAGGTAGGGGAGATTTTTTTTTTTTTAAGACTATTTATTCATTCATGACAGACACAGAGGCAGAGACACAGGGAGAAGCAGGCTCCCGCTCCATCACAGAACCTGGGATCACTACCTGAGCCAAAGGCAGACCCTCAATCACTGAGGCAACCAGGCACCCCGAAGATAGGGGAGATTTTTAAAGGGAGCGCCTCTCTTTAGTCTTTTGTCCTGATACTTGAAGAATCCTTTAGAAAAGTGGTTCTTATTGGAGGGTAACAGTCCTCCTAGTGCATTATTGGGATATATTGGGGCTACTATTGGTATTTTTTGTCCATGGGTCCCTCAGCTGTGTGTCCCTCAGCGCATGGCCATCCCATACAAAGTTCACAACCCAAAACCAAGTAACAGCTTGTGTCCCTTAGTTCCTTGAGAAACACTGATTCAGAGAAGGAATTTTGCCAGAGGACCTGGATAGGAAATAGGTACTTAACATCTGAACTTTAGTTTCTGTATCTGGGAAAAAGTCACACTATTTACTTCCCAGGAGAGTTGGGACGATTTAATAAAGGAGAGGGCTTACGGGAGGGTGCTTAGAACATAGATCCTCAGTAAAAGTGTTGTGCTCCCATCCTTCTTTAAAACAAACAAACAAACAAAAAAAAACCTTTTTGGCATGTTTCATATCTTGCATTTTCACTTACTCATACAAGCCTAATTAGTAGCAAATTAGAAGGTTTTTTTTTATCTTGTGTAACCTGTTTAAGCTTGACCTTGTGTTAAGTGTATAGTGTTAAAAGTATTAAAGGTGTTAAATAGGGAGGGAGCTCTTTCATTTTGCTGAACCTGTAGCCTTGAGTTTAAAATGACAAAGAGTTGCCCTTTGTTTTTGGCTACCATGGGTTCTGTTTTCTTTGAATTTAATTACAGTATCTTGTTTCTATTCCTTAGCCTGGTGGAGACCCATGCCTCCTGTTTATGGGCAGCTGGGCAGCTTAGAATTGTGCTTTCCAGCCATAGAGCACATGGTCTGCATTCAGGTTGGGATTATGTTTACATCCATTGTCTTTCTTCAAAAAAAAAAAATGTATTTTAGAAAGTTACCCCGAATAGCTGGAAAAATTAGGGCCACCAGAGAGTAGGTAGCATGCAGAAACCACAAAGTAATCCATTCCCCATGGATGGACTGTGTAGATGATTGTGTCCATGAGGTGATGTTTAACAGACATAGGTTGCATTATTATACAGGGAAAGGAAAAAAGTAGAGTCCTCAGGGACAGTGTTGTATTCATCTTTGTATTCCAAGATTGGTGGTTGGCACTTAAAGGACTGCGACAGTTTCACAAATGGGGTAAAAATGCCCCGAAACAAGAGAACAGTATTCCTACTCCTTATTCCCATTTTCTTTCCTCCTTGCTTTAACCTCAGCACTACATAAGGAAAGTGGGGAGGATAAACTTCACGTGTAGTGTTTCTATTTCAGATCTAATGGACTAGTCTCTCTTATGTGGCAGAAAAATGATTTCCAATATTCAGCACTACCCCTCCCCAAAGATTTCAAATGGAAGGCTGTATGCTCTAAATGACATCTGCGTTAGGGAATCTGAGTTTTCTGTCCTAAATGAAGAAATTGACTATCAAATGGCCTCAAAGTCATTCAACACTCAGGTTTTATAGTTTTCCTCCTATAAAAGAGCAAAATGCCCATCAGGAAGATATTGTAAGGATACATAATAGCAGCTGGGGGAAAGGGCAAATGAGCTAGTCAAACACGTATAGCAGAAGCAGTCATAAATGAAGGCTCTCTATTCCACTTGAATTCAGAACTGAATCACAGGGACTCATGGAAGACTGAAGTGCCCTCTTTATAACAAGATTCCATGGGTTTTGGGTTTTGGTTTTGGTTTTGAGTTGGATGATAAAGCAGACTCGCTAATATTGCATCTGAGCAGAGAACATACCCCTCCTAGGAGTGCCTCCCCCTGTATCAGCCTGGGGAGCCATGGAGTATAGGTTCCCGCAGCAGCAAGTGGGACTCAAGGGGAGGATAGAGGCCCAAGCCACGTGTCCTTTGTTCCCTTTTATAGACTTGCATCTCAGTAGTTATTTCCTCTTTTGGAAAGAACCCAGGAGAAAGTAAAGAGAGACTGGAAGTGTCCTCATGGATTTCCCCTTATATGAACCAGAAGGAAGGAGGGAGATAGCTCCTGGTGCTCGCCCACCGACATGTTTCTAACTGCATTTCCTTCTTGAGACCCTCCTTTGTAATCCCGTCTTCTACTTGGTGCTGCTGTGTGTGGGTAGGCACTGTGTCTTAGGCTATGCCCATGGTAGACCCTTCATGAAGCTTGTTGAATGAATTTGTTCATTGTTGAATGAATGACAGGAGGACAATTAACAGGTAGATTATGGATGCTTCTGATTTCCCACCTGTGTTCACATACAGAGTAGGAGCCGTAGAAGCAATGGAAGTTTAGACCGGTTTCCCTAACCATTTCTAATCTGCATCATGATGTTGTTATTCAACTAACTCCTGCCTGATTCTCTTCCACTTATCACCAAGGGGTCTTTTTTTTTTTTTAACCTAAATTTAATTTTGTTCTCTAGTGCATAAGATCTAACTTTCCTGTACCAGCAGCTTCTATGAATCCTTTTAAGATCTGAGCGTGAAT